ACTAACGCATCAACCTACCTTCGAGACATATTGAAAGGCTCTTTAAAGATCCTTCACGTGGGCAAGTGGCAATAATTAAGGGGATAACAAAAAACTTTATTAATTTACATTATGATCTTTTTTATATGCTAATCATGATTATAATTAATTTTGCAGCTAAATGGCAGCGTAACATGTGGTTTGCGTGTAAAGGGATGGACAAATCGGAAATGACCGGCTTTTTTGGCCATTGTAAAGCATTATTTTTAGGAATTGGAATATCTGCTTGATCGGCGTAATAAGAGCGCATCATTAATTAGTCCTTTGTTATAGGCTAATCAATTATCCTTTCAACTTTATTTAACTAATGCACCCTAGTATTATTATAAACATTTATGGGGAAGCATACTTGAACTTGGGAAGCTGTCTTTACGTAGTTTGAACTTTAAAAAAGTGTTTAAGTCCGTCTGTTAAGTGCGCTCACAGATTCATAAAACAAAACTCTTCAAAATAAGAACTTAAACAAGTAGTGTTTGAGTGGATTCTCGCGTCTGATCTTGGGTGATATCTAGAAGATTTGATTGTGCTCAATTGCAAGTATTTAGAGGAATGATTCTGTTAGTCCTTACATCAGTTTAGTATAAGAGATGGAGGTCCTAAACTCAAGTCCCCACAAGTGCCCTTTGAAGGGGGCATTTTTATAATGAAGGAAAAATGATGCATGAGCATGGTTGAATTTAGGAGGCGGCCTACGTAAGTAGCTTAGGCTTTAAAGAAGTGTTTGGGTCTGTCTATTGGTTGCGCTCGCAGATGCGTAAGGGACTCTTTAAAATAAGGACCTTGACGACTAGTGCTTAGAGTAGATTCTGAGTATAATCCTGAGTGGTGTCTAAAAATTTTCTTTGTGCGACTTTCATCGGTTAAAACTTAAAAAAAAAACAAATGATTGCGTCAGTCTTACATCATATTGTGGTATGTGTGTGTATATATATATATAATTCACTAGACTTGGATTAGCAAAAGAAAAAAAATTGTGTATATCCGCTAAATTCGGATCAGATAGTGAGTGAAAAGAGTAAGGACTTTCTCCTATTGAAATAATTTGAATTACTAATGCTCGTATACCTTCTTGTAATGTTTAGTTAGTGCGAGTAGAATAAAATTACGTGTGTGTTCTTATTGATAATTAACTGAGAGCAAGTGATAGATACTCTGATTTGACTTTTTTTTAGTGGTTTTCCGATTCAGTTATCGTACACATATAATGGATTCACATCTATGATGTGGACTTCACTTTTAAGAAAGAGGTTATATGCCACTAGCAAAAAAAAAAAAAAAAGGGAAAAAAGGTGGTTATGTGAGGTGGAGAATGGAGATATAAATGCATTACATTATACTAATTTGTTTCGATTAAGAGAATCTGCCTAGCCTTAAAGGATAAAAAGTTTAGGGCTACTTTGCGTTAATGATTTATTGGGGTCCTTTTTCTACGTGCATGTTACTTTCAGCCTTCAATAATATGTGTGAACAGCTTAAAGCCATGAGCTAATATTTCGTATCAACGGGCCAACGGCGGATCCATTTTGTCATGCCTAAGTGCAATTGGCCCAATAGAATTTCTAAAGTAAGCTGTGAAATATACAGTTAAGAGTCTACAGAAAAGAGTTTTCAAGGAAAATTTAACAGCTAAAATCCCTTGTTTGTCATAAAAGACATTCGAAATTATCACACACACACAACCATATATTTTGCTTGCTAATAACATTACTTCAAAAAGATCAATAGATTAATCCGTAAACTTATAACTGATCATTTCCCCGACCCCCCCCAAAAAAAAAGAAAAAAGCTAGCCATTGATAAACTTGGTTGATGTAAAATAAGATTAACTTCTTACAATATTACATCTTTTTTTTTTTAATTGAGAAGATATCAAAGCTAAAAAAACTTCACGTAACGATTTGTATACTTTGAAAGTATATCCCCAAAAAAAAAAAAAACTTAGACTCCGTTTATTTTACCGATTCGAGTTTGCTACAGTAAAAAAACTAACAGAAACAGTCACTTTTTTTTCCTTTTTCTTTTTGCTACAATAAAAAACTCACATAAAGTCACATCTCAAGTCGAATCAATGAACTAAACAGACTTTTAATAAGTACTTGTTATTGTTATTCGTAACATTTTCTCTTCGAATTCTTTAGTTCCCATCAATTTGTCAATTCAGTTTGATCGAATTTACTTTTAGAGTATGTTTGGTAGGAAAGAAAAGTAGAAGGAAGGAAGAAGGTGGAAGGAAGAAGGTGGAGGGATTTTGGGAGAAAAAATGAAAATGTAGGTTGTTTGGCAGGAGAGAAAAAAGAAAGGAAGAGAAAATGGAGTGGAAAATAATACATGTGGGCTCTACTATTTTTTTTTTCTTTCCACAAGTGGGCAGAAAATGAGATGGAAAATGGAGACAACTCATTAAAGTGAACAAAGTTACTAAACCACCATTTTCTTCATCAACATCCAAGCAAAAAATTTTAAGGGTATAAAAGTAATTTATGAGTAAGATTTTTTCTTTTCTCCCAATTTAACTTCTAATACCAAACAAGTGAAGGTAAGCTCATTATCTTTCACTCTTCTCATACCAAACAACATAAAAAAAATCAATTTTCTTTCCATCATTGCTATTTTTCATCACTTCCATATTTCCTTTCTATCATATTTTCTTTTCTTCCTACCAAACATAGCATTAGGTATAGTAGTAGAGCTCTTCTACATGTATATGTTCTCGTGTTGCAATTCGCTTCTGACCACTTTAAAACCCTAAAACTTTCCAAGAGTCCCATCTAACGTGGGAATCATTTCATGTTCAAATTTTCTATTGCAAACCAAATTCCAATCAAACCAGTGATTAATTAGCACAAATTAACTTATACAAAACCAACCAAAAAACCAAATTAAGATCGAATCATATACATTCAACATTCAGGTAGGTGGCAATATTATTAATTATCACAGGCGTATCTCAGCTCATCTCTTCTTTCGTCCAAACTATACATTAGTATTGTTAATGGGGACTAGTAAAGTTTAAATTAAGTGGCAATCACATCCTAGAATACATTTCTGTGAGAAACACGATTAAGCCTTTGACTCGTTATATTAATAGTTTATTAGTACAGCACCTAGACATGATCATATGCATGTGAAAGGAGGAGAAACAAAAATATATATATATATATAAAGTAAATAATATATAATTTAGATCGAGAGACTATGCGAATTTAAATTCTAATCAATCCGCAATTGAATTCGTAACTGGGCATTAAGATTTCAGCATTTTGCAATTGAATTCGTAACTGCATATTAAGATTTCAGCATTTCGTAACTGCGGATTGAAAAAATCTCAATCCGTACTAATTCCAAATTCTCTCAATTCAATTTAATCTAACGAATTAAATAATCCATTATCAATTTAAAATACTTTTAATAATACTTTCAATCAAATTCAACGGATTAGATTGGATAATTTAATTAGATTGGATTAGATTGGATAATTAGATTGGATCATTAGATTGGATTGTTGAATTGGATTAGATTGGATAATTAGATTGGATTGTTGGATTAGATTATGCAGATCGATCTACAGATTCGATGAACACCGCTATAGCTTTAACGAAACTCTCTGATCTAATCACGTTAAGAGACTGGTTTTGGTCCAAAATAGCAAATCTTACGAAATTCTCGGCCCACCCATCCCTAGATAAAAGGTAACGCTTTGGGTTTCACACTCTTCAGTAGTAATCCAGCTAGTAAGAAATGGGGCATAAGCTAATACAAGTTTTGTTTGAAAGTCGCAAATAAACTCGTTTCACTGGTTCGAATTACCACACAAATTTTTAGTACAGTGTTTACCTCATGTAGCGAATAAGGCCAACTTGTTGTCTACACTTGTTGAAATGAAATTTTGCCCTTCTTTTTTTTCTTTTGCCTTTCTACTCTGTTATGAGATATCCTATGGTTGGTACGGGTCTCACTTGAGAGGAAGGAGGCCTAAGCCACGTCTGCTGTGGTCTAAGTCAGTACAGTTGAAAAACAACAACTAAAACAACCCCGTCTTATTAACGCTTCCAAGAAAGGTAAGTTTAATCAAACGGGCATTTATTTGTTGTCAGCCTTGGGTGATGAAAGGGACGAAGCTAAGGATGAGTGAGGTACGAGATCCAAGTCCATGGCCTATTTCGGGTTCACTCGGAGCTTTGGCAACCACCGTAGGAGGTGTGATGTACATGCACTCATTTCAAGGGGGTGCAACACTACTCAGTTTGGGCCTTATGAACCTCAGGCATTTGTTTATCCTTTTAGAGTGGTACTTTCCATAAAATCACAAAAAATTTGGATTTACAAAACATAAAAGTGCGTTTAAAATTCATTTCAAAATAATTTTATTTTTTATATGAAAATAAAAATAAAAACGTTTTTAAATTTTATTTTTTATATGAAAATAAAAATAAAAACGTTTTTAAATTTTATTTTTTATATGAAAATAAAAATAAAATGTTTTTAATATAAAAAAAATTATATTTAAAAATGTGTTTAATAATTTTATTAAGAGATTGTTTTCAGTATAAAAAACTTATTAATGTATGTGTCTGCTTGAGAGAACGAAAATAAAAAATAAAAAACGACTCAAAATTATTTTTCATTTATCATATTTTACACTAAATCAAAAAATTATTTTTATTTTTATTTTTTATCTTTAATTATACCAAACGCGATTTTAAAATCGTTTTCATTTTTCCTTTCTTGAAAAACGTAAAAAAAATACAATTCCAAATACGACAATAAATTCAAAAATATATACGAACAAAGTTAACTATAATACAACTTAATACATTCCCAATGTTTAGCATTTAAGCAACTGTCCAAAACAAACTTGAACCTTAAACATCACCCAAATCAAAAGCCAACCACTCTAACTAGTTGTAACTACCCTCCTCCATTTCCCCTTTACAAAAAATTACATCACGTTGCTTCTGTAATTGACCCAACAAAAAAAAAATCAATGAGTTATTTAGTTAGGAGATTCGTACCCTAATTTAAATCATAATTTATAATTAATTACAATATTTTTTTAAAAAAAAATACACATAAATAAAAAATTATTCTAATTTTATAATTCTAATCCTCAACTAAACGTCTCGAAAGTCAACTAGCAACGTTCCGAATCTCCTTAAAAAAAAATAAAAATAAAACTACCCATATTCTAAACTAACACATATTTCAAAGTGTTCACGCGTGGACAAGCTTGCATGCGGGTCTAGGAGCCATGGCGAAGAAGGCCTCGAGATCCGGCGGGTGAAAATACCCGTTCTTCGGCCGGTCCCGCTTCTTTCCGGCCACAAAAGGCTTCTTCCTCGGCGGCGGCGGCGGCGCCGACATCTCCCGAATCCGACACTCGTCTCTTTTCGGAGTAGCGCAGCCGTCTTCAACGGCCATGATCTCATCCACTTCATGAATCTCGTCGACCTCCATGGCTGTACGGAAACAATTACTTGGAGACGAAGCAGAGAAGAGGCTTGCAGAAGAAGTAGGAAGTTTTCTTGGTGGAGTGGACAAATGAGAGAGAGATTTGGGGTTTATATATAATTTTGATTTATTAGGGCTTGCATAAAAAGAAAGAAAACAAAAAAAAAGTGAAATTGAAATGGAAGGGTGTGCTTGGCTTCTTCTGGAAGTTGCTGGGGGCTTATCGAATGTTAGCGATGTTGGTAGGACAGCTAAGCAGGTGGGACCTACCCACGTGTCGCTCTGGCGTTAAGCTTTCGTCCACGTGGAGGAACACGTGGCCCACGTACGACCGTGCGTTGTGTTCCGTCTTTCTAATAATATTGGCGCCAATTTTGGCCCATGAAGAGCGCGGGAAACTCCCTCGACCACCACTTTCAACGTCCACCACTTGTTTTAAGGGACCGCGGAAAAAATATATATATAAAATAAATAATCATCTGTTCTTTCTTTCTTTCTTTTTTTTTTTTGTTGGTTTTCCTAATTTCGTTTGAGGGAGAAGGAAACAATATAAGAAATAAAAAATTAATAATGGGTGAGTTTAAATCGTTAAAATAACAATTAATCTATTTTAGATTTGGTGGTTTCTAGATTCCATGAAGTTTGGATTTATGTTATTTTCAAACTCACATGCTATTTGTGTTCTAAATGTATTTCTTTCTTAAAAAAAGACTATCTTGCATTTTTTTCGAGGGAAAAAATGTCTTGCTTTTTTTTTTTTTTTGGCGAAAAATGTGAAGTAAATTGGAGACAAGGAATATCACTGCGAAAATTTGTTGCGGTCCACCAAGATTATTAGGCCCGATTTTCAGAAACCCTCATGGCCCAAAAATGTTTGGGTCACTTTTAAGACCAAGACTTTTTCATTGATCTCATAGGAGACATGTTTGCTGTCACATGTATTGCGTATGAAACCCCCATTACATTTTTCCTCGAATGTCTATCATCAGCCATTACCATTTCTTTTTCTTTTTCTTTTTTTCCAATTGGATAGTTTGTCTAAAAAATACATTTTTAAATTAACCCTTGGTCATGAACAATTTTATTCTTGTAATAAAGGGGCCAATTTTCTCGATAGAATTGTTATATATTATATATATATATATATGTAGAATATTTAAACCTTTATCTTTGCTCTCACAGATAAATTCCAGTCTTGACTAAGATGGACTTTCGTATTTCGATCTATGTCAATTCAGAAGCTCAATGTAAATGGCCCACATACTGTCATAATTTCTCGTTGCGTCGTCATCATATTTTAAGAAGTCTCAAATAATGTATAACATTACATCATCGTCACTTAATACGTGCATGGTATTTATAGACCATAAATAGAAAACTCTAGTTCGTACCTACATTAACAACCAAAAATTAATTATTAACTTTAGCTTGTCGTGTGGAAATCCCCAACCGATCAAACCGAATATGTATGAAGCCAATTCAACACCTAATATATCGTCCGCATATCTATCTATCGAAATGTGTGCAACATTATGCAACAAACTAACAGTCCAACAAAACATACGAAAAGTCATCGTATGCATGTAACAGTGAAGAAAAACATCAAAGAATAGTTGATGATTATGTCTACCTTCTTATTTCACGTGTTAAAAGGGGCAAGCAAAGCCACAAGAAGAAAAAGAAAAATCTCTCTAAAATGTCAAAGCTCATCTACTGAGAAAGCTATTACGTGCTATATTTACTTGTGACTTTGAACGTAGAACTTTGTCCAAACCCCTTATATCATCTATCCAAAACTCATGGTCATGGTTATCGTGGATCAATAATAAATTAGCTTTTCAAATTATAAATCTTGAATTAAAGAAATCAATCGTTGACAAAGGGAGATCATGCATGTAGAAAAGTATCCAATATGCCATATGCCAATATATCAAACAACACTCACGTAGAAATTTAATACGTGTCATTTTTATTATGAGAAGTATCCAATATCTATTATATATATGACCTCACGAGAAGGTTCAAAAACGAAGATTGATAGTTATCAATGTACGACCCGATATTCAACAATTATGTTATTAGCACTCGATATTGTAGGAGTAATTTTATATATACGTAACTTTTTTTTCCCTCTATATTTTTAAAAGATTATTCGTGTTATTTTGTCTTCTTTTGTTCTCGTTTTCATCTCCAACCTATTAATCGAGTTGAGATACTAAAATTAAAATTTGAGTTTTACTATAGTAAAAAACTCTCAGAAACAGTCAAATTTAATTTTTTTTGTTACAGTAAAAAACTCTCACATAAAGTCACATCACAATTCGAATTAAAAATTCAAATCAGTGAACTAAACGGGCCTTAAAATTTGACGAACTCCAAATAAGTTCCGAAAAAAGAAGAATGAAAGACATCCTATCACTACATTATAGCATGTGAAACCTTATTATTGTGTAACTATCAAACTCCAACAGTTGAGTAAGAATATATATGTATACGTATATATATTTAAGATGTATATGCTTTTTATTTTCAACCATAAAAAGATCTTATTATGTGTGACTATCAAACTCCAAAAAACGATCTTATTAGCCAAAAAACGATTTTATTCAATAATATTTGGTGTCTTTTTTTTTTCAACTTAAACAATGCAATACTTTTCATAATATTAGGGAGAAAAATTCCGCCGTGAGACCCGTAAGTAATGCCAACAGGAGTAGCCGCCACGTATGAGTGACAAGTACGGAAAGAATCAACAGAACCCATATCTTCCGCTACCAGCTCCGCCCAACCAGATGAGCACACGTATCCCATCTCTGACAGGAAAGGGCAACAAAAGTCAGCGAAGATCTCGAGGAGAAGTAGGTAACGTGGGGAACTCGGAGCTGTCGAAGGTGAGGCGGAGGTGCGTTGGAAATCCTAGTCGGAGAGAGAGAGAAGAGTTTGAATGTGGAATTCGTTAGTGGCGAGGGCAACGTGAAGAAGGAAAGGTACTTGGAGGGGTTAGGAGGAGATGCAGTCCCACGTGAATAACTTGGAATCTCTTCACCAGCGTAACCACACGTGTGTTTCTATTAGATATCTACGTGCAATCGATCGGGACGTACGTTTTCAGTTTTTTTTTTTTTGATAATTACGTTTTCAGTTTTCTTTCTTCATGTAGATTCCGAGGTTGGAATGTGCCAAAGTTTAAACGTTACCATATTTATTGTTCTACCTACACCAGCTAATTTGCAGCTCAAATATGTATATATGTGAATTGTGATAGATGAAAGAGATGTATATTAGAGATTCATATATATGTTAAAATAATTATCAAATTTTCTTAGTCCTGAAGTTTTTTGTTCTAATTATTTTTGTTTATACAATTCGAAATCCAACCCACACTCCTTTTAAATCCAATCCCCAACCTACCAAATCTCATGCCGTTTAATCCACTAGTTATTGAATGTCTTAAGCCTTGTTCTTTTCACAACTCAAATCACAACTCAATATTTTCTCTCACAAAAAAAATTTAAAATTTAAATTTTTATTATAATATTTTTTTCTCACATATACAACTTAAATTTTTAACTTGAATTATAAAACATACTAGCAAGGATGCACCATAGGCTCAGTGGGGGCACGTGCGCCCACTGAAAACTAAAGAATGGTTATTATAATATGGAATGAGTTCATATGTCTCTTTTTTGCCCCTTTCCGTGTCCCCCAATAAAAACCTATCACATTATGACTTTTTAATTAATATAATAAGAATATTTTAATTAACGTATTACATAAAAGGAGACAAAAATAAAGAGCCACGTGACTTGCTCTCATATAATGTTGGTTGATGTGCCCCCACTTGTCTACCATGATCTGGGCTTTCTTTGTTGTGTTTTAATCCAAACTTGTCTTATAAGTTAGGACTCCTCTAAATTGTGAGAGTAATAAGACCGTGTAACTTTTATTTTTTGTCAACTTTTATTATTATTTCTGGGATAGTTTACTATTCTTTCCCTCATTTCTCCCTTTTTTATTATTATTTTTTATTCTTTGTTGCCTTTCTTTTCATTACTTTCTCTTCCAAATCCTTTTTTCTGTTTCCTTTTCTTCTCTCCTTTTTTATTCAATTTTCAGTTTTCATTGTTATTATTATTTTTTCTTTCTATCTCCTCTATTCTTGCCACACTTTTCTCTCTTTTCTTTTTTCTTTAATACTTTTATGTCAAAAGTTTGATTGCTACATAAATTCATTAGCTTCAATACCCATCAATTAAACTTATTAACATATGACGAACATAAAAAACTTATTTTAGGGATAAAATATTATTGAAGTTATGAACTTTTTTAATTTTACAAGATTTATGTGATGTCTGTATTTCTATTTATAAACATTAAAACCATGTAAAAAAGTCGATTATGCTTAATAAGATTTCATATTAACAAAATAGTAAAAATTGTACCAAATGTTTTAACTATTTTAATTTATAGATTTTGTTCTTGTATTGTACCCTATCTGAATTCAAATTCTGAATCTGTCACTAAAAACATACATACTCTTAGCTATTAGTATCACTCAATAATTTATGTAATTTAAAGATAGTAATGCATAGAAGGATTGTATTTTTATAGTATTAATAAAAACATGATTATGGTTGTAGACATAATTTAGCAGTAATTTTACATCTGACTCTACCACATAATATAAAGTTTGAAATCTCCCACCCTCAAGTTCAAATAATAATATCAGTATTAATTATATTTTATAAATAACATTAATCTTCATTAATATTTTTTTGGTCATTGTCATATGAATGATCAACTTAAGTAATTATCATAATTTTTACACATAATTATAGATACGCTTTAAGACAATTGGTAATTACAATAATTACTAAAATAATGTGGTGTTAGTACAAGAAAAATAACCAAAACGAGTAATATATCTTCTAGAATTTCAAGTTCGAATTCTTTTTCAAAAATAAGTATTGAGTAATATTGTCAGTGGTGATTACCTCAAATATTGATGTAACCACAAAGTTCGGTTTTACAACTTCCAGGAAAAAAAAAAAAAAAAGGTTCGTTTTGCAACTGTCAAAATTTCATTCCTACATATATGGCCTACTCCAAAAAGTGATTCTAGTATTAAATAATTCTCAATTATAGGACTGAACAGTCACACATACGTGTTTAAATTCGAAGTGAGGAAATTTTAGGTTAGAAGTGCTTGAGCGCAGAGAAAAAGGACACGATTGGCAATGACCTACGGCAAGCGTACGTACCCAATATTATTATTATAACTTTAATAAGAATAGAATTAGCTTACACAATCAGAAGAATATAATTATAAAATTCACGCACGTTAATTTATCAATTCATCTTAAAAAATTTAAGTGGTTAAAATAAATTAACAATAATTTTATATTTTAACATTTTTTTCACGTGTGGACTACACAATAAGTAATCGTGTGAATAAATTAATTAAAAAACCTAACACGTGAATATTTAATCTTAAAATATATTAAAGACTCAATACATAATGATAATTTAAATGAAAATAAAAAGTATAATTACATATGAAAATAAACCTAACACATGTATCGCACGTGCGTGTATCGCATGTGCGTGTATCGCACGTGCGTGTATCGCACGCGCTAATCTCTTCTTTTGGGCGGGTCGAGTTTTTATCTGTGGAGCATTATAACAAAATGATAATTATGATATGACTAATATTTAAGGGTCTTACTTTATTTTTATTTATTGAGCTTCGGGGTGGGGAGAATTTGAATTTTGTACTTTAGGGTTTGAGTTAAGGTTGTGATACAGGGCATGCTCTATTCAATTAATGTGGTTGATGCTCATTATTATTTTTTATTGTTAGCTCTGAGTTTATTGTCATTTGGCCCCATTTTTAGTGTCGTTTCTTACTAGTTAAAACGCAAGTTTATTTATCGTTTGGTTGTTGTTTTCTCTAAGCTATAAATAGCTGATTGTCAGACACTTAAAGATTATTGAGATTTCCCAGAGTTTGGATTTGTTTGGTTGTTTTATTCCTTTGTTTAGGGTTCGGCTCTAGAGACTTCTCCCATATGGTTTTAGCCAGAAAACCTTTTCCCAACTGCGGCTGCACCAGGTTGTATTTGCAACCATAAAAAAAAAAAATGTGACAATATTCCTATGACATTAGTTGGTATAAAATAGTTGGGACCTTTATCATAACTGATACTACGAAGAAAAGAAATTATATAGTAGGGCACGTTGTTTTGCCTTAGAGTAAGTAGTTGTTTTTACCCTTTCTATAAGCGAGAGCATTTTTATACTTTATTGAACCATTTTATAATAGAGAGTTTCTGTGTTAGGACCATCTTATTAATAGGATCAGTTTTTTGACTGTTAGATCTGATTAAAATCACATCACATTAAAAATTTGTGCATAATATACAATTTTTAATACAAATTTAACTGTTAAAAGTAGAGACCTACCACTAGTTAGTTTTTTCTGATATTATCAGAGAAGCTCTCTTTATAATAACACCGTTATATTATTGGTGATTCATCATTTTTAAATTTTATAATTTCATCAAATTATTTTAAATTTAACTATCTTTCAATTTTATAATATGACTTTAAGGTATTCCATCACAAAATTCCTTACATGTTTTTTCGAAAAAATGAAAAATAAATGTGTGATTTTAAAATAATTTAAACATAACATTATTTTATTAGATTAAATGAAAATGTAAATGTATCAACTAACAAACAATAAAATGTTAAAAATACTTGAAATGCACTATATTTAGTATCAAATTTGACATTGAATATAGTTCATACTACATTTAGCATATGAAAATATACCAGTATTAAAGAATGATTTTTTGGATATAAATTTTAATATTGACATGCTAATTTAATTTTTGTGAATTTCCTCTTATAATGTGAGATGCATAAAAACTGAGATATACAATATATATATATATATATATATGTTTGTATGTATGTATGTATGTATGAAGCTTTTTTAATGACATATTTTTTTAATATACGAGTTCTATGCATTTAAGTAAAGATCAATGTATTCGCATGCAATACCTAACTAGTTTTAGATAAGGGTTAGTTCAGTTTATCTCCCCTATAAGTTTCCAAAAACATACTATAACCTGAAACGAAAGAAATATGGCCTAGCAAAGACGTTTTGCATTCAACACGTATTACGAAACAGGCAACAACACATCATCAAGGAACGCTCATGATTAGCAGCTCTTGTACGCATTATGAACCTACCTGTAGTTTCGACTTTACAACTCAAATCACATTCCAATCCACGCTCTTTTCTTGCACATTCCATTGAATTCCTCGCCGTGGGAAAAATCTTAACACCTGTTTAATTAGCAACAAAAGTTAATTAGGGAGAGAGAACAGAAGAAAAAAAAACGAAAAGAATGAATTGTAATTCAAACTGTAAAAAGAATAGGAGAGTGTAAATTATGTGATTGATACATTCATTTTTAGCAATTGTTTCAAAAGTGTATTTTTTTAATAACAAAATACCTTCACGATTTTTACTAAACCATCATTTAAGTCGATTTTTTTTAAAACAGTCATTCATACTTGCTTTTCTCCTTCCTATTTGAACCGGTTTTATAAAGAACAGGAGGATTGATATGTGTAAAGTAAATTGATTCGGTGATCAGAGATGTATAGAAACCTAAAACGATGAAGAATTCTCAGTTTCAGACTAAAATAAAAAACTAGGTTATTGATCCAGAAATTGGAATTTGGTGCTGTTTTGGGCTAGGACACTATGATAAAGTTGAAGGAAATTTTGTTCTGAACAACTTTTGGAAAATAGCGTTTTTCTCAAAAATGACTTTAGACGCTAGTTTCAGGCTAATTTCCGAAACAGGTACAAGATGGTGATTGTTGGTCGAATATGCACGGGTTTGGAGCATGATGTTGAGATAGGAAATATTTCGGTCCAGATACCGAATATAAGAATTGTAGAAATTTTAAAGTTAAATTCTATTGCATTTATTGATATTAGATTTTAAATCTAACAATCAAAAATTTAAATAATAGCTGTAAATGTTATCCTTGTGTGCAAATTCGAAACTTTCAAATACTTTATAAAGATATAAGAGATCATAAAACAGATACATACATGTCAATATGTCATTCAGTTAATGACCCTATCTAATCACGGTTCTTGTTTTTCCACAATCAATTAGTGATCATTGTGATTAAATTATAATAATATTATATATATATATTAATTACTAATAAATCCAACTTTTCTTTTTTAATTTAATTTTGGACAATGAGTCCCAACTTTGAATAATAAGGACAGAGTCCGGTTGTAAATTGAAGTGGGGTTGGGCTTAAAAAGAGGTTAAAGCAATGTGTTTCCATAAGAGCGGTGACGTGTGTCCCTCACCCCCACCTATTTCCTATAAAACCCCCACCATTCACCCTTCATTCACCACTCACTACTTGTTCAAGTTACTCGTTGCCACCTCTCCCTCTCCCACTCTTAATTTAACTCCTTCCCTTTTTTATCATTATTATTAATCCACCGTCATCAAATACCACCATGCAACTTCTCTCTCCTTCTCCTTCTCCTCCTCCTTCTACACCACCACCACCTTTTTCTTTTTCTGCTGCCGTACCATACCAGTACTTCTGTTACTTTCTAATCCCCACACCAATAATTCTGCTCTCTTTTCTCCTTTTCCTCTTCCTCCAATGGCGCCAACGGCGCCGAATTCCGAAGGCACCCTTGCCTCCCGGCTCAATGGGCTGGCCTTATGTCGGAGAGACTCTCAAGCTCTACACCGAGAACCCCAATTCCTTCTTTTCCGACAGGCAAAAACGGTACACTCAGTAACCGCATATTTAACACACACATATATATATATATATATATATTATATTATATGTGCAACACTGAGTCTAGTGATCTAGCGGTAAAGAATTGTCGTAATTGGGTCTGTGGTAAAAGTTTCGAATAGTATATGACTTTCTTTGACGGTCTTAATCGTGCTGCCTCTCTCTTGTCAGCTCAATACTTAGTGCTTGTTTGGTTTGAAGAACCAGACTTTAAATTTTTTAAGAAAAAAATTGTAACAGAAATTTTTTAAGAAAAAAATTGTAGAGAAAATACAGTTTTGAGCCAAAACCAGAATGGTTTGAACCCTTAAACCAAACATGCACTAATTTAATGTTTCGTATTACGCTTTCCTCGTCGAGGAATAGGCCCTGTCGTTAAAGCCTTCAGTGAATATTTCTGTAAGCGTCTTAAGGAGTATGCTAGAACCAGTTGTCCTTTTTCCCCATTATTTTTTCTTTTGTATTTTGTATTTTTTTTTTTTTTTTTGGTCAGCTACATATGGAGATCAGTCTTGTGGTATAATACTATAGTAGTCTTATGTATACAAGTGCACGCACGTACGTATGTCACGTTACTTTATTTCCATGAATTTATGTAATTTGACAATATGCTTTCTAATATTTGGTTTACAACTCATGTAGGTATGGAGACATATTTAAGACGCACATATTGGGATGTCCATGCGTGATGATATCGAGCCCGGAGGCGGCGAGAATTGTGCTGGTGAGCAGGGCACATATGTTCAGGCCAACTTATCCGCCAAGCAAAATGAAGATTATAGGGCCAGAGGCTGTGTTCTTCCACCAAGGCTCCTACCATTCAAGGATCAAGAAGCTGGTGCAAGCCTCCTTTCTCCCTTCTGCTCTAAGAGGCTCAGTCTCGGAGATAGAGAATATCGCGCTCAGACTTCTCGCCACCTGGAAGAACAGCTCCATCAACACTTTGCACGAGATGAAGAAGGTAAATACAATGTATATTTATGTGTATATATAGATATATATATTGTCAGTTTGTTAAACAAGGTTGTTTATCATTTATTGCATGATGAGTGGGTGCATATGTGGAAACTAAGGAAAAGTTAATCCGGTTTTTGGCTGTGTATGTTACAGTACGCTTTTGATGTGGCGGTCATCTCTGTCTTCGGCAACAAACTGGACATAGAAATGGAAGGAATTAAACATCTGTATCAATGTCTTGACAAGGGATATAATTCAATGCCTTTAGATCTACCCGGAACTCTCTTCCGCAAAACCATGAAGGTATTTCATATACATATATATATATATATATATATTTTAATCAGATCCCACAAGTTTTTTACTTTTTCTTTTTGGAAAAACATGTATATTGTACTAATATTATTACTGAAATTAGGCAAGGAAGCTTCTGAACAAGACTCTAAAGAGGTTGATAGTGAAGAGAAGGGAGAGTGGAGAAAAAAGTGATGGCTTATTAGGAGTGTTATTAGGAGCAAGTGACGACAAGCTTAATAAGCAACAGCTTAGTGATTCTCAAATTGCTGATAATATAATTGGTGTGATTTTTGCCGCTCACGACACTACTGCTAGTGCTCTAACTTGGATTTTGAAGTATTTGCACGACAATGGCCACCTCTTAGAAGCCGTTACCGTAATTTAATTTTTTTCCCCCTTCTTTTTTTTTTGTCGGTAATTAATTTCCATTATATATATTCCAGGCATATATATCTTTATTTTTTGCTGATCGGCATATATATCTTTATAATTTGTATTTGTTGAAACTTTGAAATTTCTTGAAATTTTTTTGAAATTGGAACTTTGGCTGTAAGCTAAAAGACAATGCTATATGAGACATTGTTTGGACCTTGTAATTTTGTTTTTTACGTGTTGATTGCTAATAATGCGGTTTAATTAACTTTAATCAAATAAAAAATAAAAGCACAACATTAATACATGCACAACTTATTTCGTTTCAGGGGGAACAAGAAGGAATTAGAAGCAAGTTGTTGGAGGAGAATCGGGGGCTTACATGGGAGGATACTAGGCGTATGCCTTTGACTACCCGGGTACTAATTAGTTTATATAATCAGTCAAAATTAAACCATTTTTAATTAATGCAAAACGGCACAAATTATATTGGAATTGATAATGTTATTACTAAATTATTTCAGGTAATTCAAGAAACTCTAAGAAGAGCCAGTATACTCTCTTTCACGTTCAGAGAAGCCGTGGAGGACGTGGAATTTGAGGGCTACTTCATCCCTAAAGGTTGGAAGGTCCTTCCCCTTTTCAGAAGTATTCATCACTCTGCTGATTTCTTCCCTCAACCCGACAAGTTCGACCCTTCACGATTTGAGGTGAAATAAACTATGTGAATGATACAATATTAATATAAGTAACTATATAAAATACATATGATATGGCCATGTAGTCCACATAAAAGTATGATATTTATTTTATGAAATAAAATTTTGAAAATATTTAATGTTATATTGAATAAATATCATGTTACATTAAATGACAAACCTAATGATTATATTAAGAATAATAACCTAATAAAGAATATGATAAATACACACATATATACATATCTAGTCTATATATATTTATATATAGTTGGTGTGGGTCAAGCACGTCATACATTATCTTGATTTATCTATAATAGAAGGTTATCAGTGGGCCGTTAGCAGACCATATATCTTGGTGGTGTCCTTTTCACTCTTTCAATGTGAATCTTCCTCTCTCGAAATGAGTTGATCATGGGAATCTTTCGAGTGTCAGGATCACGTGAGTTGGTTTTGTTTTTGTAGGGCTGTAAAAAAGTTAATTTAAAAAGATTACAGAGTATAATCTAATTTGTCTCGAAATAATTAATATATAAAACGTTGGTTAATGAAAACCTCACAAATATATGTGTGATGTTTGAGTTTTGTTGTATGATTGTGTAGGTGCCACCGAGGCCAAATACGTACATGCCCTTTGGGAATGGCGTGCATTCCTGTCCAGGCAGTGAGCTGGCCAAGCTTGAGATGCTCATTCTCCTTCACCATCTCACCACTACACACAGGTAATCATCTAAATTATAAAAAATAAAATAAAATAAAAATAAAAAACTAAATATCACACACAAATATTACCAATATGAGAGTTTAAAATTTGCAAAACTTGAACATTAAAATCAATCACATATATATATATATATATATACGTATTTGTGTATATGCACAGTTTTACTTTTAGCAATAACAGTGTGATTGGTGTTTTTGTTAGTGGTAAGGATCAGAAAACGTTATAGTATCGGATTTCCTTTGATATACTTCTTTAGCATGTGTTGTGTCACGTAGTCTTCATTGACTAGCTGGAGAGCAACGGGGTTTAATGATTGGTGGTCCTTTTATGAGCATATATATGTTCCTTAGGCTGTGGAAGACTGGAAAGTGGTCCTTAATTAGCAACATTGAGGGGTGCGAGTGGGGCGACTTGCCAGGCATGTAGATTATGAAGTTTCTTAGTGATTGATAGAATAAAGGGTCCCATTACATAAATGTGCAATCAAGGTCCAATTATATAGATGTGGTATATATAACATGTTTATATATAGTACTATATATGGTTCACTTACATGTATTTTACACGTGGCATGCATGCACCAGTGTATGGTGTCCACTCTCTTGACCCTTGCATGACATAGCTAGAAGGACGTCTTAGAATTCATCATCCTGGTATTTATATTTCTTTAAAGAATTGCATGCAAGCCCTGAATCCTGATCACTACTATACCTCACGTTTTCATCACTAAGAGCCACTCCTCTTCAGTCTTCAGAGTTTCTTCAGTTGCAGTCTGCAGTTTTCTTCCAGTCGTAGCACACTTCATGGTATCTGTGATCATTATATTTGTCATCTTTTGTGGATTTAAATTTAACCAAACAAAAAGTGAAAAATACTTTGATAAGAAAATCCCAATATTTTAGACATGAAAATATTTCAGACGTTTTGGTTACGAGAGGGTAAGGTGCTGCTATAATATATTTTTGTTCCTGAACTTTTAATTTTGTCATGTGGGTTTTTGTTTTTTTTTTTTTTTTTGACAATTTTGATCCTTGACACTAGAATGACAAACCAATTTCGAGATTTAACATACATAATTATAACATATTGCATAATAACTGAAAATGTAATGTTAGTTTCCATAATCTTCTTAGCCTGTTGCTCATCTTTAATCTCAAATCGTTTTTTGTCTACTTCTCTGGTTTTATACAATTCTGAAACATTTCAAACTGGTGGGGCCTACGACCCTGTAATCATAATCTAACTATTGGAATTCAGAGCAGCTACATATCCCAGGTACACCAGTAGAGAGATTCTGATGCGTATATATAATATACAGATATTCCAAATTCTGTTGCTCACTGGCTGTCCCCATCATTCATCCAAAATATCAATTTAATTTGGTCCCATTCCCACCTTATGTCAATCACGTGCATGATTAATTCTCTCTCTTTAACCTTCATTTAACAACCCTAATAAGAAATTTCATCAATATTAGGTCTGACCACCCTTCAGTGACCACATCATAATCTTAGCTATAGTAGTGCTAGAGACTTTTAGCCAGCTGCCACTTTTGATCAAATGGCCAAGAGACATTTGAGGTTTCCAGCTGTAAGGAAGCAAAGACACACGCACGACTAAGTGCAACTACCATGGCACAGGCTTCACCAATCAACACCACTCTTTCTTCTGCACGCTTTCCACCACGGCATTGCTGCTGCTGCGAAAAATGTCCTCATCTAAAATGATTCACAAACATCTTCTTCATCACCAGTAGTCTAGAGAAAATGACATTTTACAGTGTTTGAAATACTCTTAGGCTCACGGTCTATTGATAGATTTTAGCCCACGGCTTTCTAGAATACAAAAGCAGGAAAAATCTTCCATAGTTTGAGGACATGTTGGAACAAAAGCAGTGGACACAAAGGAGCTTATAGCTACACTCATGTGGTGTCAGTGTGGATGTTTTTATCACGTGAGTAAAAATTTAGCAACTTAAACTCTACTAGGTGCATGTTTTCAAACATTCAATCTAGTTAAAATCGTACTAAAATTTAAAAAAAAAAAAAAAAAGCAAAATTGTCCGACATACAAATACGATGATTCAATACAGAGCCCGGCTAGAATTTTCAAAGTAATTAACGGTCTAGGTTATTTACAGTTTTGGGTTTCTTTTAACATATCCAAATTTGGTAACCAGGTGGAAAGTGGTGGGAGATGATGATGGAATACAATATGGCCCTTTCCCGGTACCCAAACAAGGCTTGCCTATGAAGGTAATTCCAAAGAACAAGAAGGTGACTACTTGAAAACTCAGCTTCCGGGGTTCTCAATGACAGTTTTCCAGTGGGGCCAAATGCAAAAGGCCCCATTGAGCTCTCCCTTCTATGAGTTTTGCCATTTTTAGTTTGTCGTTGGGAATCCTATGTATTTGCTAGGGTCAATGTCAATGCATTGCATTAAATGTAACATGTAACAAAAGTGTATTATGCAAGGAAAATAAAGTTAGCAAGGAAATGGAGGATTATGAAAAGGAAAACGTTTTTGAATGTGTGAATAACAGAAGAGGTTGAAGATCTTTCAGGATCACACATGTGTGGTTCTGACTGTTGAAGTGACTTTCATTTCATTCTCAGTTTAGTATGAGGGAAGAGGAGAGTGAGTGGTAACTTTCATTCTTTCAGATATTTTCCAACTGTTTTTGTGGCTGGCAATGGCAACCAAAGGCCTCAGAGAAAGAGATAAACCTAGGCCAAGCCAGAATTCAGGACCACGTATCATGCAACAAGGCATTTGGGATTTTTACACGTGGCGATATGGGGAATGGACAGTATACTTCCACGTTAGAGCATCTCATGCAATTTAGTAAAATACAAATTTTTCATATGTTATACTCTGTGTCAAAATTTCTATTCCGACGAAGTATAACGTGAGGAAAATTTGACATTTGATTGTTATTGGTTGAAATGTTTACTTTTTTATGTGGAACAAAAATTAAAATAACATCATATTATACTTTTTAATGTTAAATATACAATTAGCATTAATATTTAATAGTTTTAGGCAGTCAATTTAATTACTGCTGAGATGAGAGTAGATAATCTGAAGGGAAGCCAAAATGAAGACTTTTACAGTAATGGACTAGCAGTCTAGCACATTTCTGAAGTGAGAAGCTTATTCACTTTTGGTTGGCAAGAATCCCTAATAAATTTACCGCTCGTTTGTTTCGCGGGTTCACAGTTCAAACATTTTCACCTCAATGTTTTCTCCCACAAGAAAAATTTGAATTTTTATTCAAACTTGTTCAAACCTATGATCCAAACTTTCTCCACATTATTAGTCACATCCCAGATATAATCTGTATGCACTAAACGTTAACTCTCTCTCTTACTATATTTATCAACAACAACAAAAAAAAAAAAAACACCTCTCTTTTACCATATAAGGAGAAGGATGGAATGCAAATATATTTAGACTGGTGATGCAACAAATGATTATCCAAAGAATGAGACAGTCATTAGTCATCCTTAGGAAAATAGTCATTTTCCTTTGGGGATGCAACAAATGATTATACAACGAATGAGACAGTCATTAGTCATTCCTTAGTCATTTTCCTTTGCTTTTACTATTAGCCATAGGTGAGTCATGTTTTGCCTATTGGATGTTTGCTTTTGCATGATGGAAGAGGAGCATGACGGGATCCAGAATTGTAATCAGGAATTTAAAAGTAACATAACTCGTTCATTTAACTAATTTGAGTTTTCAATTTTAAGTTTTTACAGTAAAAAACTCTCAAAAAATGTCACATCTAACTTTTTCTGTTATAATAAAAAAACTCACAAAAAATGTCACATCTCAACTCAAATCCGCAAAATGAACGAGTCCTCATTTCCATATCCAAAACATGAAAAGCAAGAGATTATAGATATCCAAGTGTATGAATTTTGGGCCGCAATTTCGACACCATTCATTACTTAACACAATGAAATCCGTTTCCAGAATGGCACAAAAAGAGGGGTCGAATTCTCGAGTCACGTCGAGGCAGAATAAGGAAAACCGCATTAAAGGAAACAGATTTATTTTCCTGAGGGAAAACTTCACGCGCACATTTTGACATAAATGCATAGGTACGTGGCAAAACGTTTCAATTTAACATAACTGAATGGACCAACAAGACCCCACATGAATGTACACTTGAGAGAAAACGAGAGAGGAAATTTCCGTCCTTTATCAGATAATTTGGACACGTAGTGTCAACAAATAACCAATTAACAACTAAGTAGATAAGGATGTCAAAGAAAGCGATTTTGCTTCATTTCCCTAAGAAGAGAAAGGCTAAGCTATTCTTTAAAAGGTCATACAACGAGGATATTGCAAGGAATAGGCTGACATATTTCTTCTCTCACAGTGAATTTTATGTAAAACATAATTGGGGTGGCTTTCATATTGCCTACACTCCTGGAACTAGAGTCGGTCTATGGATGTTGTCAAATATCTCTAGATTGGACAAAAAGAACTGACCGCAAGCACTTCGAAACGATGATTTTGGGGGATCAGACACATGCTGTTCTATACAATAATGCACGTCATTGTTTAATGACTATGGCCGTGCCGGATTCTTTGTAGACTATGACAAGAAAAATGCTCCTACAGCTCGGAATTTATTGATCCCAACATGATAGGAACATTAAAGATTCATGTGTTTCTTTTGATTTGTAGAACAACACCAGAGGCATTCTAATTCATAGAAATAAGGATACGGCATCTGAAATGCATTCAATTCAAGCATGTCAATTATGAGAGAGATGTTTCTGATAAAAGTTTATGAAGATACCCGGGCAACAAAGCATCTCAAACAAGTTAACTACCTGTGCTTTTAAATATCTCACTAAAAAATGATAACAAGAAACACACTAAGAGCTTCGAAACTATGCATAGAAAATTCTCCTGTAATATTTTCTCAAAGAAATCATACATTTTTACTATGCCAGAGACAAAAGCATGTCAGTGAAAAAAAAAAAAAAAAACAGAAGAAGAAGCCAACTGGTGCTAGCCCAGTTGGTAAGGGTGGCTGGGTTTAAGGGAGAGATCCCAGGCTTGAATCCTGAGAGCAGCTAGCTTGTATCAAAAAAAAAAAAAAAAACACGAAGCAAAAAAAAATGTGAATTTCAGAATTGGCGAGACTAAATAAGTAGATAAAAAAAAAAAAAACACATGAAACTCCCTGAACACTTGATGAAAAGAAATTTGAAGTAAACACGTTGCAAAGTGCAAACAAAAAGGGGGGATAAATAGTTGCAAAGCAAACAAAATTAACGGTGAAACAGAGCCTACAGCAACCAGCTTCTCTAGTATACCACAAAAGCATCTCCAATACAGTGTCAATGCAATTTTAGTATTTGAGTGAAAAATTATTCTTCACTGCAATGCAATTTTCCATTCTAAACTGGCAAATGCTATGTTTGTGGAAAATTCACCAAAAAGTATAACAAATGTCAAATTTGGCATCTATTGGGTATCGGTTGATATATTTAACTTTTTCTTTTTCTTTTTTCTTTTTTTTTTGGCTACAGTATTAATTTTTTCATTTGATTATTACAACATTGTTCTTTTAAGATTATTTTAACAGTAAAAGTTTGCTTTTACAAGTTTCAAACTTTAATCACGACAAAAAGTAGATAGGATATTTAAAATAGCATAAAGCATTTGAGCATAACAACACATCAAATGTGTAATATCATTCTTATAGTGACAAATATAACATCGACATTTGCATTTGCATTGGAGATGAGCCCTAAAGACAAAAAGAGATATAACTCACTCAACAATCTTCTACTATGCACAAAAACTCCTCAAATGCAATTTAGCCATACAATAAAGCAGGCATCACCAAACATACGAAACAATAAGCAAACAAAGGAAAGGATCAAAACATCTCTGTATGATCAACATCACATTTAGCTATTTCATTTCCAATCTCAAGTTTTTAAGTTAAAAGCAATGTAATATTCATAATGCACTACAAAACAAGTTGAATGCCCAAAAACTAATACACAAAAGGGATGAACTTGTACCTAACTTTACTCGCATACTCGATATAACCATCCCCAAAAGTTTCAACCATCAAAGCCTCCTCCACCTTTGCCTTCTGTTCATAATACCACAAACAAACAGCCACCACAAACAGCGACGTCAAAGGCGCTCGAAGCGCAATACAGTAAGTCACGAACAGAAGCATAGTGGACGCGTATATCGGATGACGAACCCATCTGTACGGCCCAAACTGCACCACAGCAGTTGGCACCACCACCTTCTCCGAATACTTAGCAAGATACAATGTCGAATTATACTGCATCAAAAGCGTCACCAAAATCATAACCCAAACACCTACATTGCTCAAACCACCTGGAATTCGATGAAGCTCGGGCCCTTCAAAAGCCGCCAGCCAATGGCCAACAATCACTCCAACGCAGAACAAAAGGCTCTGCCCCTTGGGCAACTTCACGTCCCACTTGGGGTCGTGAGGCCGTGCGCAATAATCTCCGTACAACCGTTTTCTGACGCTGACATTGAAGAAGAAGAAGTAGTGATAAACGAAGAAGAACACGTAAGGCCATCCCTCGAGGAAACCATTGAAATGGGCGGGCGGGACGAGCGTGAGCCAAGCGAATGCCGCGGTAACCACCGCGATTTGCTCGAACACATTGGCTTCGCCGCGAGAATGCCTGGTGAAGCAGTAAAGCCCGTAAACGGCGAGAGCGACGGAGAGAATCCATGGCCAGAAAAGCCAAGTCCAGCTAAAGTACATCCAGAAGAAGGGGTTGAAGAGCCCGTTGACCGTCCATTTTGCGGCGGCGATTGCGACGGATAAGACGGCGGACCATTTGACGACGTCGTAAGGGGTCGATTGAGAAAGCGAAGCTTTGAGGGAATCAAAGGAGAGGTGTTTGAGAGATAACGGAACTGGGTTTTGAGATTCTGGAATTATAGCGTTGGAAAATGAGCATTTGAGAGGAGTTAAATAATGGGGTCTCGTTGATTTTGGAGAAAACGAGGAGGTTTTGATTGGTTTTTTGTGGTTGATGGGATCGACTTGAAGGTGTTTGTTAAAATGTCTGAGAGAGAGTTTGGTGTTACCTGTGAAGCGGGCACAGAACGGTGCCGTTTTGGAGTGTATAAGAACTGATTGTAGTTCCATGGCTGTAAGGAAAAGAGAAGATCAGTGAGCTAACTTCGACATCGGCTTAAGATATTGCGATGAAGTCTCTGAGAAGCAGAGTGGGGAAGAACGAGAGCAGTTTGATGATTTGCCGTTTGTGGGTTTTTTAGCGCCAAATCGACTAGCTCAACAGGCTGGATTGAGGCCCAGCCTAGTTTTTACAAAGGCCCAGTTCCTTTTCCATGGGCTTTATAAACAACTACCACAATTTTAAGGCGTGGAAGAACGAGAAAAGTTTGATGATTTGCCTTTTGTGGGTTATTTTAGCGCCAAATCCACTAGCTCAACAGGCTGGATTGAGGCCCAGCCCAGTTTTTTCATCGGCCCAGTCCTTTTCCATGGGCTTTATAAACAACTACCACAATTTTAAGGCGACTTATGACCAAAAATATCGGAAAATGCCTTGCCAATTGCCATGTTATCATCAGAGCTGTAAGTTGGGCCGGGTTAAATGGGCTGAATTGAGGTCCGCCACTATTAGCCCAGGCCCGACTTAGCCTTAAATTGTTAAAGTTTAGAGTTGTGTTGGCCGACTATCTCTCGGGTTATTCTGACTAAATATTATATTTTTAAAGATTTTTTTTTTTGAAAATACTATATAAAATTTGGAGACGGGTTGGTCCTAAATTTTTAGGCTTAGAGTCAAGTTAAGCTGATTCTCTCTCTTTTGGGGTCTGATCGAACAGCTCAAATTTAAGACAGGTTTGTTTCATGCGTTTAAATTCATATTTTTAATTCTATTACAGTATTTTTATCGCATAAAAAATTTAAATTTCAAATGTCGTAATCAAAAATCACTTGTTTGAATTCATGAACTAAGCATGCCCTTACACTTCTACTCATCATACAATATTTTAGAATCCGATAAAATTTATTTTTGCCGCTCAAACTTTAGTCACCTGGTCATTTTACCTCCTGAATTTTAAAAATTAATCTATTCACCTCTCAAACTTTAAACCATCCTAAAAATGCCCCTTCTATTACATTCTACCCATTTAAAGTTGAAGTGACACTAGTTTAATGAATAAAACCTTATTTTAAATTAAACATTTAACATTAATATTAAACAGTTGTATTATCCTTCATATTATATTAAATAAATAAATCATTAAAAATTACAAAGAAATTTAGGATTTATTCTCTTTGCGGATTCGAGTTTTCAATTCGAACTGAGATATGGCATTTTGTGAGAATTTTTCACTGTAGCAAAAAAAGTTAAATGTGACATTTTCTGAGAGCCTTTTACTATAGAAACTTAGAACTGAAAACTAAAATCGATAAAATGAATGATGCCTTATTGTTAGAATTCTTTTCCCTTCGGGGAACGGAAATCACCTTCAAATGCTTCCAAACTGGGCCCACAATTCCCTTTTAAATCCTCAACGTCAAATTCAAATGCTTCACCACCAACACTCCAATCCCCTTCTAAAAAAAAAAAAAAAAAAAAAAAAAAAACAAAAAAA